CAAAGAAGGCTTCACGCTCATGGGAAACTCTCTTAGACACAGAGCACTCGACTGTGTGGGGGAAACGAGCACAGAGCTGGAGAGAGTTCATTTCTCTTCATCTGAGAAGGAGGTGCATTGCCCGAGAAGGGCATGGGCACCTTCAGAAAGGAGTCTAAGGGGAGGACGCAGCCCAGGAGAAGGGCCAGGCCAGGCAATATGGCCTCCTCCACTGACTGGAAGAAAGAAATGCTCTAATGTAAACGTCATTCACATTAGGAATTGTTGCCTAGCACACAACGACTAGACGGGAATCAGCACGGACTCAAGCTTTTCAACATTAAACACACCGTCCTGCCTCTCTGAGTGCTGAGTCTCTTATGTGGCACACTCTTAACGCCCTGAAAACAATAAGCCGTACAATATGTTGCCGCCCTGTATCAAAGTTAAGATACGAAAATATGGAATATTGGGCTGTCTGTGTCAAAGAAAACTGGTACAAGTGACTATTAACATTGCCAAGCGCAAGGAGAAGTCAAGTGCTTCTATCTGAAAAGTCCCTATTGGTAACGTTATTTGACACTTGCTAGAACCACAATTTTATACCTATAGGTAAGGCACCGTATGTAAGAAAAACAATGACAGGAATGTCTCTTTGTGCCTAAGTCACACAGCTTCTTCAAAAAATATTAAGAGTTTTTGATTTTCATGTAAAATTAAGTAAAAGGAGAAGTTCATAGAAAATGTTTAAATTGATGTTTCTAGAAAATGAATGAGAGAACTAGTGATTCTTTAGTATGAGCAAATATTTGTTGCATACAGAGTACATTTTAAAAGCAGAATAAGTATGGTAAACAAATAGGATCCACTGAAGTAAAACTAAGTATTAATTCGCATTAGCAATAATTACAAACAAAATCCATTATTCATGATTAAATCCCTAGTCAATCTTTCATCTGATCATCAGAAAGCTGAAATTTACTGTTCATATAAAAGGCAGGAGAAATACAAAGGATGCCAATCAGGGGATTTCTAGCACAAAATAGTCAATATCTCAGTATGCTACCATTTCTTACCCCCCGCCCTCCACACTGCCGCCCCCCCACCCCCACCACCCGCCAAAGCCCTTTCCTATGACCTTAAAAAAGCACAGTCTATTTGCTACACTGGGATTCCTCTGCTTCTCTTCTCAAGTAATTCTTGGTTTGGGGTGATAAATTAGAAAATGAAAAGACAGTTGCATCTTGGGATTATTTATCAAATACATAAATATCACATCTATTAGGTAACTGTCTATAAAAATAATGGAAAAACAGCTCTGTCTGAAAGGAAAGAAGGAGCCCTCGATTTCTATGAGATCAGGAAGACGACTCTAGAGACCTTTTGTTTCGTATCTCTGAATCGGGAGCTGTTTAAAATCATGACTGTAATTGTAAACACGCTTTATGTTTTCAGTATGTTGCTACATAGATGAAACATACACTGGCTAACCTGACTGCAAAAGTATTCTTTTTCCCCCTTGAATTAATGACTTGAGCATTTCCATCATTGGTTACCTGGTGTTGGGTGAGGAAGCAGGAATGTAATTCTAGCTCAAGTGAAGAGAAAGCAGAGACTCCTAAAAGAAGAATGAATCTGAACTTCGTAGAAAAGACTGAATCAGTATGTTTTAAAAAGGGGGGGGCAGTGATAAAACATACCTACTCTCTAAACTCTTCTGTGTTTAAGAAACTAAATACAGGGCTCCTGGGTGGCTCAGTTGCCTAACTGACTGCCTCCGGCTCAGGTCGTGATCCTGGAGTCACGGGATCGAGTCCCACATTAGGCTCCCTGCTCGGCAGGGAGTCTGCTTCTCCTGCTAACCTCTCCCCTCTCATGCTCTCTCTCTCTCATTCTCTCAAATAAATAAATAAAATCTTAAAAAAAAAAAAAAAAAAAGAGGGGCGCCTGGGTGGCTCAGTAGGTTAAAGCCTCTGCCTTCAGCTCAGGTCATGATCTCGGGGTCCTGGGATCGAGTCCCGCATCGGACTCTCTGCTCAGCGGGGAGCCTGCTTCCCTTCCTCTCTCTCTCTGCCTGCCTCTCTGCCTACTTGTCATTTCTGTCAAATAAATTAATAAAATCTTAAAAAAAAAAGAAGAAGAAACTAAATATATTTAAGACATCCTGATCATGGTTTTATACCTCAGAAACTGGGCAAAAGCAGAGTGCCTACGTGACCTAAGTTAGGGACTACACACGACTTCGAGTTTGCATCAAAAGAAGCGAGTAACTTATGGCAAGCAGTTGTCTACCAGAGAAATATGGAAATTGATTTTTGTCCCCTGGAATCCTCATTTGGGGAGTCAGCCACTGAAGACAGGTTTAACACTCCGCTCAACTAAGTTTATATTCTGCATGCCATAAGGCACTCTCCAGTGTCACCATACCAGCCGATAATGAATGAATAAAACTTTCTCTAGGAGAACAAGCTATGTGAATATAAAATAAAACTGTTAAGTCCTACATTTTCTTCTATATCTCCAGCTGGTTTCCTTCTGAGAGGGGAGGTTTTGGATGTAGCGAATCCACACCATCAGATAAGATGCATGAGATGACTGGATGATCGCCAAAGTTTCACTCCCAGCAAGGCAGAAGTAATTTTTGCATCCTTAGCGTGAATGCTGTAAAGGCACTGCTAGACCACGAGAGGCACTGAGGAAACCCCAGGGGTTGGAACACTGGCTCTCCTGGTCTGTCTCATCGTACAATGATGATAGCTACTGATGAACACGTGCTCTAAAGTCAGGGGGAAAATGATTCCTATTTTCCAACATCACTACAACAAGGAAAAGGAGGCGGGTCATACTCAGGAGACTGTATCTAAAATCAGCCTCTAGGGTTGTCTCGATCACATTATAAATCTTTTGATGCTTCAATTTAACTGTTTCTGTTTTGGTTTCACCAGACAGGAGAGGAATACTAGAAAAAGTAATTGTAAGGCAATAAAATGTATTTGTTAAGGCCTCCACATGAGTTGTTAAATAAAATAATAAAGCTACACTGGCTCATCCTTTTTCACACTCTACATTAAACTTGAAGTGAGTAATGGAAAAAAAAAAACAAAATAAAAATGGAAGACAGCACTATTCTTATTTCAGAATGAGTATATCTGGGGAAAGGAATAGAGTGGCAGGAAAGGCTGATGCCAGCCTTTGTGTCAGCTGCTCTAAGTCAAGGCAGCATCGTCAATGACACACAGTAAGAGGGACTGAGGCCACCTCGGCAGGTGTTCTCTTCGGCAATGGCAATGGTGTTCCAATAGGCCAAAACGCTCCATAAACAGGCTAGGCATTTGGGGAAAAAAAAAAAAAAAACACCCACTGCAGCGTCATCCTCTAATACATGAACTTTGCTTTGGGAGTCATTTTGCAGAAATCTGGACTAATGCCTGGGTTCAGAAGAGACCCAAATGTTTAACCGTTTGTGCTCCAAGAGACTATTAAAAAGCACTGTGATCATATTCTTTTTGCCTGAAATACTGACAAGTCACAGTGAGAATTCATGTGGGCATTTTTACTGTGTTTATTCTCAAGACAGAGAAGTTCTACTTTCCATACTTACGTATCTCATACCACCATATACGTATAAGTGTGGAACGTATATACACCACACACACACACACACACACACACACACACACACACACAGAGATTCTGTGTAAGAATAAAAGCAAAGATAAACGCTAAGTTGGATCAAATAATATGTCCCCTAAGAGCACTTGCCTGGCATTGTACAATGGAGAAAATTTCATTACCTATTACTCTGCGGGGGACAGGGGAAGCAAAAATACCACAAACTCAAAGGTCTGAACAATTTGGCCTAGAATTTCAATTCAAAGACCAACTAAATATCACAAATACGCTTTCTAATTTTTTCCTATTTTTAATAATAAAAGAGTTTTCCTTTTTCCAGTGCCAAATGCAAAATTAACCAGAGTTAAGTATAAAATATTTTGAGATGGAAAACAAAACTGAGTGTTTGAAAAACAGTGGGAACTCCATTTCTTTTAAGAAAAAGATTGATTATGGGGCATCTGGGTGGCTCAGTGGGTTAAGCCTCCGCCTTCGGGTCAGGTCATGATCTCAGGGTGCTGGGATCCAGCCCTGCATCAGGTTCTCTGCTCAGCAGGGAGCCTGCCTACCCCCCTCTCTGCCTGCCTCTTTGCCTACTTGTGATCTCTGTCTGTCAAATAAATAAATAAACTCTGAAAAAAAAAAAAAAGAACATGATTGATTAAAAACTCCAGTATCTACTTAAATCTATAGTATATGTGCTCATTGTTGGTAGGACAGTAAGTGCTTGCATTCTGGTTTGTTATAAGATAAGAGTTAATGGTTGTAAGATGATAAAAGTTGCAAATTAAATCAAAGGCACCAAATCCAAAGAAGGCTGTCACAACCACTTCCACGTTCCTAAGAGCTCTGGCATTTTCCGGAATTTTACCATGTAAATGTGACAAAACAGCATACCACTTTTGCCACAGAGACAAAAGCAATTACTCCATTCAACAGGAACACTTTAAAATGAGAGGTTACAAAATAAAGATTTACCTTCAAGGACAATCTTGAAGGTAAGAAGTGGCAGAAAAATTCTTAGTTTAAAAAAAAAAAAGAGAGAAAACAATCCCTTTTTAGCAGTCTTCAAGAATGCTAAAGACTCTTTTGGAGCCTTGCTTTTGGACTTCAACTTGATGGAGTTGTCAACAGACGAAGGGATGGAGATGTAGAAAAACATAATCCCGGTTAAAGACAGATGTCGTCACTCAGCTGTCATTTACAGATGCCAAATTCATCTTTATATGTTTAGGAGAAAGTGCATTTTGGATTGTAGAACACTCATCTTTAAGTATGCAGGTTTGCCGGAAGGCTGACAAACCAGCATCATAAATTTTTCTCTCTGGAATCGAGTACCAACTCATCATCTTGCCAGTTAGAAAAATTAAAGGGTAGAACATATACGTAGGGACACAGAGAACAGTTACCTTCAGCTGATTATTGAAAATATCAATCTCCTGTAGTTTCGATCTTGTTTCTTTCTCAACTTCATCCAGCTGGTCTCGTAGCTGCTGGCGAGCGAGTTCTTTTACTTCTAACGCTCTTTTGAGTGTCAGAAGTGAATCTCCTATTTTGGAAAAACATTGCAAGATAAGAAAAGCAAACTGGCAATGAGGAAAATGGTTTTTAATGTTCTCATTTCACCGAAGGAACGTCACGCCAGTAGAAAAGGAGAAGGCCGACTTTAAAAAGCAAACACCTACTGTGCAAACTGTTCTGCTGAACTTGCTTGAGTTGGTCATTGAGTATCTGTTTTTCTGGAATAAGTCTTCCGAGCATTTGCTGAGCCTCCTAGGAGAGAAGGAGGAAAACAACAATGAACTGACAGGGAAAACTACGTGGACATTCCACCTCCAGGCAGACAAGTCCGTTTTCTCATCCCTCAAAGACTCTTCTAATCTCATCCCAAATCCTACATTAGAAACTGCATTTAATCACCAGTCAGGGCAGTTCTTGCTTTTTTGCCAAGCAATTAACTATGTGCCAAATGCTTTTCACTGAAATAAAGTTAAGACAGTTAGAGCTCTCTTGAGATTTCTTAAATTTTATTGACTTACTGCCTATTTAGAAGCTTTCAAAAAGGTACTTTAAGTACAACTCAGCAGAGAAAACTGAAAGTATCGATCTCTCCCTTGCATTGGGATCCAGTGTAAATGCAGTGACTGTTTGTGAACTGACAGAGTAGTTTTAATAGGAACTATTCTACTCTGAACTTTGATACTTAGTAGGGCTGAATTAAGGTTCACCCATACAGCTGAAGACGGAAATAGAAAGAAGAGATTTCTCATGGTAGGAGCTTGGCTGCCATATATGTTTTCCACCGTTGAGGATGGACCTATAATTTTAAAAAGGTACATAAAAGTCCTGAACCAACCATTTTTTACCTGATATAAGAAAAAAGCTAACCCACACCATGAAAGGCTATTTGAAGTTTTCATGGATGACCTGTCAAGCACCGTATTTGCTTAAGTTCAGCTGAGATTATCCCATATAGTTCCTACACGTTTCGGTAAAATGACAAGCCTTTCCAGCACAGAAGAACGAATACTTGACTTTCATTTTTACCTTGATGAAGAAAAAACAAAGTCTCACGAAGGAGGCACCCGTGATGAGCACTGGGCATCGTATGTAAGTGATGAATCACTATATTCTACAGCTGAAACTTAATAAGCGTTGTACATTAACTAAATGGAATTTAAGTAAAAACTTGCAAAAAAATCTCTATGCACTGGTTTTTGGTTTGAGAAAATAAAAATGCCTTAATTGAAAATTTTCATCAGAGACCAAGAAGCAGTCTTTTTTGGAACAACCATCCTTAGGGACAGACTGGCTCGTATGCAATAAATCTTTGTGTACCACAATTCTGAGTTGGAGAGAGAGAGAGCTCAACAGAGAGGATCTGGAAGCATCTTCTCTTATGAATAATCCACACTCGTTTCCCCCCAATCTGGACAAAACAGAATACACAATTCACACTGTTTCCCCCAAAAAGCCCAGCCAGCTGAGCTCCTCCTATTCCCCCCCCTCATTAATTTACATATTTAGGGAAGATCTCTTACCCAATCCCAAAGTTTCTTTCCTATACCAAGACAATGACACATCAAGATAAAACCTTGCTCAGATCACTGAGACTATTTAACTTATATAAACATCACTCTTAAATGTCAACCCAAATTTCTAAAATATGTCCTAAACCAACAGGAAGGGCTACCTGACTCATCCGCGAGTAACAGTAAGGAAGGGAACCAGTATCTCATGGCCTATGATACACCTGGCCGTCTTCAAACCATGTATTATTTTTCACTTCACTACTTTTTTAGGAACCCTAATTTGTATTTTATTGTCAATAAGTGAACATACTAGTGTCAATCAAATATAATGAAAAATCTGTTTGGTCACAGGGCATTCAGTGGGATAATAAATAAACACATGGCCTTCATTCTTAAATTTTCCAAGAGAATATTTTATGAAATTTCTCATAGTTAATGAAAGACATATAAAAAGTTACCGTATAGAACAATAGCCTTTTAAAATGTACACGCACTTTTTAGTATGTTCGAACAATTTCTAGCAGTGAACTTCTGATACTATTTACAGTATAAGTCATTATCTTAATATCTCAAATTGATTAGGACTTCAAAGTACAGGAAGCAATAACTGACAGAACTCGAAGGAAAAAGGAAAAATTTATAATGATAGGGCCTTCAATATCCTCTTGCAGCAGCTGGAAGAGGTCACAAAATCAGGAAGGACACAGAAAATACAAAAAACACCACGAATCAATTTGCTCTGATTAATGTTTATGAGGCACTCCGCCCAACTATAACAGAGTACATATTCTTTACAAGTGCACATAAAATATTCACCAACACAATCATATACTAAGCCATAAAATACATCTCAGTAAACTTAAAAAGATTAAAAAGAATTGAAATCATACAGAGTATGCTCACAGCTTATCACATAATCAGAAATCAGCAAGATATCTGGAAAACAAACAAAATATCTGGAAACTAACTAGCATAATTCTAAATAATCCATCAAAGAAGAAATGACCAAGAAAATGATTTTGAACTGAATGGATACGAAAACACATTAAAAAGTTGGGTAATATGGCTATGACAATGCTTAGAAGGAAATATATACCTTAATAAAATGTTTATATCAGAAATGAGAAAAGGTCCATATTCAATAATATAAGCTTCCTTTTTATGAAGCTAAGAAAAAGCAAATTAAACCCAAAATAAGTAGATGGAAGGAAATAATAGAGTATGAATGAAACACAAAACAGATATACCACAGATAAAAATCAATACAACCAAAAGCTTATTTAAAAAATAAAATCAATGAAATCAATAAACTTCTAGGTAGAATTGATGGAGAAGAGGAGGAGGGGAAAGGAGAGGAAGGGAAAGAGGAGGAAAAGTTGAAGGGTGAAAGAAGATACAAATTCCCACGATCAGGAATAAAAGAAGTGACATCACTACAGATACTACAGACTTGCAAAGAATTAACAGAATATTGTAAACAACTCTATACAAATAAATTTGACAATTTAGATGAAAAGAAAAAATTCACTGAAAGATACAAATCATCAGACTCAAAAAGGAACAGAAAATCTGAACACCCCTATATCTATTAACTACATTTTGCTATTAAAATCCTACCACAAAAAAAACTTCAGGCCCAGACGGCTTTACTGACGAATGAAAATTTAAAGGAAAAACACCATTTCAACACAAACATTTTTAGAAAATGGAGGAGGAAGGAATACTCTCCAACTATTTTCTTGTTTATTACCCTGATACCAAAACATGATAAGGACATTACAAGAAAACTATAAACCAGTATCTTTCAAGAATTTAAATTAAAAGATATTTAATAATAGCATACTGAATCAAGTAATTATTTTTTTAAATGGTAACACACCATGACCAAGTATGGCTTATCTCAGGAATGGAAGGTTGGCTTAACATTCAAATTTCAATCAACGTAAATCACCATATGAACAAAATAAAGAGGAAAAACATGTAAATATCTCAGTAGATGCAGAAAAAGAAAATTATGACCCAACTCAACACCCATTCATGGTTTAAAAAACCTTCAGCAAAAAAGGAACAGGAGAAAAATCCCTAACGGGATAAAGGGCATCTAAAAAAAATCTATAGCTCACATCATACTTAATGGTCAGAAATTGATTGGTTCCCCCTTAAAACCAAGCCTCTTACCACTTCTATTCACACGGTACTGAAGCACTCACACACTGCTGGGGAGAGGGTAAAATGGTACGACCACCTGGGAACAGTCTGACAGTTCCCTATACGGTTAACCATATATTTATATGACACATTAATGGCACTCCTAAAATTAAACCAACAGAAAGAAAACGTATTTCCACATCAAGACTTGTAATTAAATACTCACTGTAGTCTTATACACAAAAGTCTCCAACTGGAAAGAACCTAAATGTCAATCAACAGGTGAACGGCTAAAGAGGGAAAATACTACGCCGTGATAAAAAGGAACAAACTACTAATTTGCTCAGAAATATGGACGAATCTCCCCATCAACAGGCTGAGAAAAATCACAAACTTCAAAAATGCTCAGCTACATGCAGGAATGGTACCTACATGAATCTGATGCCTCCCCTACCCCTTTCCAGCTCAACAAGTGAAACTAAGCCAGGTGATATTATGGCGACGTGGTGGTCACCACTGGATACATAATAAAATGAAAGTAGAACTGTGTATGGCATTCCATTACGTTCCCCACTCTTCACCATCTGTCCGACCCTAGTACTGCCCCTAGACTACTGAACTGCACCTCCTTATACTGTCACGATCCCAGTAAAGCCAGTTGCATGAGCAAAACACAGGTCCTACATAATCCATCCCGTCAGCTGCAACCACAGTGGTCTCCTTGCTATGAACACATCCTGAACATGGGGTACAAGGTCACAACGCTCACATTGCTGTCTCCCCGCCCTCAGCTTGCACTGCCAGACAGCCGCAAGACTTAGCTATTTCTCTTTCAAGTCTTTGCTCAGATGGGACCCTCATGGAGAAGCCTGTCCTCACCACCTAATACAAAATACTGCGCTGGATGGGGCACCTGGGGGCTCAGTCTGCTGAGCGTCCAAAACTCATGGTTTCAGCTTAGGTCATGATCTCAGGGTCATGAGATCGAGCCCCATGTCAGGTGCCACACTCAGTGGGGAGTCTGCTTGAGATGAGATTCTTTCCCTCTGTTCCCACCCCTAAATGAATGAATGAATGAATACATCATAAATAAATCCTAAAAAAAAAGTAAAAAATACTGCCCTCAGGCTGTATTGGCTGGCTTAGTCAGTGGAGTGTGCAACTCTTGTTCTCAGGGTTATGAGTTCAAGGCCTATGTTGGGTGTCAAGATTACTTAAAAATAAAATCTTAAAAAAAACCCTACTACCCTCCTCCTTCACAGAACTCTTTTCCTATTCACTCTCTGGAGCACTTTTCATATGCTAATAGAGGACACACTTGACTTCTTTTGGTACTGTCCGTCTGCCCTACAAATAGAAGGTAAGCTCCATGAAGGTGAGGTCTTGACTCTCCTGTTCACTGCTGGACCCTCAGTGCCTCCGAGAGCCCCTGGCTGGCACACAGCAGGGCTCAGCAAACATTGTGTTGAGTTTGTTTCCTCAACAGCCTACTTTTTAGACTCCTGTCTACTTCATCTTCGCTTCCCAGCACCTAGTACATGGTAGATGCTGGATGCTTGTAGGAATGAATGAGTGAAATGAAAAGAGAGGAAAAGCAGGGCTTGTAAACCCTAAAAGCATTTAGTGGGTGTATTTTCTCACCTGTAATTGTTGCTGTAGGTGTGTGATTTCAGCAATTCTCAACTCTCTGGATTTGTTTGTACTCTCAATTTCTTGCCTTTGAGTGGTCAGTCGACACCGGATGTCTTGAAGTTTTCCTTCTAGTTGATGCTTTTTATCATTCTTTAACAAATGAAAAATAGTAATTATTCTTACCACTTTTAACGGTTCAGGGTTAACAGATGACCCTTGAACAACACAAGTCTGAACTACATGGGTCCACTTCAACCTGGATTTTTTTCAATAAGTAACAGTACAGTCCTGAAATGTATGTTCGCTTCTTTATGAATGTATTAACATTTTCTTACCTCTAACTTATTTACTGTAAGAATACAGTATATGATACATGTAACATACGAAGTATGTGTCAATTAACTGTTTATGTTATCAGTAAGGCTTCTGGTCCACAGTAGGCTACTAGCAGCTAGGTTTTAGGGGAGTTGAAAATTATACACAGTGTTCTGACTGCATGGAATCTGTGCCCATAAGCCCCGTGTCGTTCAAGGCTCAACTGTATTCCCAAAGCATAATCAAACTTGACTCACTAGAGCTTCTAATTCAAATTCCAGAGTCTTTTTCTTCGCTTTCAGTACAACTATGTCCTCTTGCTCTTTGTTCCTTTGATTGAGTAGTTCTTGTCTTCGATTCCGTTCCCATTCAAGTTGTCGTTGCCTTTCAAGTTCTCGCTTTGCAGCCTGTGGCATGTACGAACAGACAACTTAGTAGTTTTTTAGTCCTGACATGATACAATGTCTCTTAATAAATATAACACCCAGGAAGTCTTTTCATTTAGGGATAAAATGTTACACATTGCAAAAACTTCTATTACAAAAGAGCAAAACCAAATTTACACAAATACAGTATTCCTTCTCTAGCAAGAAGAGAATATTTAGAAAAGCTATTATAGTTAGATGAGGACAGGCAGGATTCATGTCATCATTGGAATTCGATTATTTACGCCTTTAAGAATGTCTGAAGTAATAAAAAACTGTTCTTCCTCATTCACTGACTCATAAAGAGCTGAAAAATGTCTTTAGTCTAGTAAAGTCACAATAAAACCCCTAGAACAAAAAACAAAAACAAAAACTAACCCCCAAAGCAAAAACTTACTTTTATCAAATGAGAAACTACTCATCTCAAGTTTTAAAATTTATTGATCCCCTACCCCCATAATCGTCCATTTTCTTTTTACCATAGAAGCTTCCATAATTTCTACGGCAATGACCATTCTCTTTAAAGGGGACTCTGATGGCCGCTAGGTAAACATGTCCAGAGCACCTGGCACTCTTTTTTTCTTTTTTATTAAAGATTTTTTTTTTTTTTTTTTTTGAGAGACAGCGTGCAAGAGCAGGGGGAGGAACAAAGGACGGAGGGAGAAGAGCAGACTCCCAACCTCAGGGCTCAACACCAGGACCCTGAGATCATTACCTGAGCCTAGGGCAGATGCTTAACCGACTGAGCCACCCAGGTGCCCCCACCAGTCACTGTCACTGTTCATTGTTACTGCTTCTTTTTTAATTTTTTTTTTAAAGATTCTATTTATTTATTTGACACAGAGATCACAAGCAGGCAGAGAGGCAGGCAGAGAAAGAGGTGGAAGCAGGCTCCCTGCTGAGCAGAGAGTCCAATTCGGGGCTCAATCCCAGGACCCTGAGATCATGACCTAAGCCTAAGGCAGAGGCTTTAACCCACTGAGCCACCCAGGTGCCCCATTGTTACTGCTTCTTATATACCTGTCCTCCAACCACCCTTTGGGCCTGAGGACACTGAAGTACTTTTCTACAATTACTCTGGGGACTATCGATGCCTGGCACATGGTAAATGACCATTAAGTAATTCTGAATAAATACACTGAAGTGTCTTAAAAATACAAAACAAAGCAAAACACTGAGAAAGGAAAAGTGGTCTACTTTTAGGCTGTCCATTCTGGAAATTAAAATGGTATTAGTATCTGTGTGTGTCTCCCTGAATAAGGCTTACTGCTCTAAGTTATCTGAAGCAACAACAGGAGATGAAACCAAAGTATTGTGTTTTCATAAAGAAAAATCTTCCATATGTAAGACAGATTTCATTCACACAAAAGAATCATGACAGTGCTTCTGTAGCAATATTCTAAAACTGGAAATTCAGAGAAAGAATGGCTTAGCCCCTATCCAGGTATGGCCCCAAATTTATGAGGTCTTCCATCAAATATACTGAAGATTTCCCACACATATATTTTTAAAGTGGGAAAAAAAGGGCACAGAATCATTAGTGTGATCCCATTACAGGGGTTAAAAAAAAATTGCACGAAACCCCCAACATTTCCACTATATAACCTTTAATATTTCTACATACACATATAAATGTAGAGAAAGAAAGTCTGAGAAATTCTTAACTAACATCAGTGGTTTGTTACGAGACTGCATTATCCGAAGCTTGACCGTGAATGTTCTCAGCAACATTACTCGTATCAGTCAACAAAGCTGAAAAGAAGTCGAACAGCCATCAGCTGATGAATGGATAAATATAATGTGGTCCATCTACGTGATGGAGTATTATTCCGTCGTAAGAAGGAATAACGTACCGACTCCTGCTACAGCTTGGGACCCGAAAACACGCTGGGTGGAAACGAGACACAAAAGTCACCTAGTGTGTGATTCCATGTCTGCGAAATGTCCATCGGGAGCAAACCCACAGAGACAGGAAGGAAATTCGTGGCTGCCGGGGGCCAGGAGGAGAGGGGGATGGGGAGTAACTGCCATATGGGAAAGAAATTTCTTTTTGGGGTAAGGAAAATTGCTCTGGACGGTATTAATCGATTATGTGACTAATTAAGGAAGAAGGGGAGCAAGAACACATGCGCTCATTGTAGGCTCCGTGGCGGCTCACCTCTCGTCTCTCGATTTCTTTCCTCCTCTCCTCCTCTCTCTGACGCTCTAGTTCCCGCTGCTTTTCCAGCTGCTTCTCCAGCTCCAGCTGCCGCTTGCGCTCCTGCTCCTGGCGCTCCCGCTCTTTGCGCTCCTGCTCGGCGCGCTCCAGCTGCGCCAGGCGCTCCTGCTCCTTGCGCTGCTGCTCCAAGAGCGCCTGTCTGCGCTTCTCCAGCTCCAGATTGCCACGTTCGAAATTCTCACGCTTCTTATCTTCGAAGGTGACTTGCAAACGAGAAACACGAAAACGTCCAGAAGTCACAATTTGCAACATACTGTTTTCAAAGGAAAATTCAGGCACATCCGGGAGGAGTAGTGGAAACGCCAACCAGAGCCCCCTGAGCCTCCCGCCCTGCCTGTGCCTCCCGGAGGATCCCTAGGACGACGCCAACAAGCTTTTGTTTTTTTTGACACCAGGAAACTTTCACAACAAATAATTCAGTAAAACTGCAGGATACAAAATCAATATACAGAAACTGGTTGCATTTCTGGACATTCATAAGGAACTATCAGAAGGAGAAATTAAGAAACCAATCCCACTTACAGTGGTGTCACGAAGAATACCTAGGAATAAATTTATTGAAGATGGGGAAAGACCTGCACAATGGAAACTGTAAGACGCTGATGAAAGAAACTGAAGACATGATTAAATTGAAAAGTTTTCCATAGTCAGAACTGGACTGGAAGAATTAATATTGTTAAAATGTCCTCACTTAACCAAAGCAAGCTATAAATTCAGTGCAGTTCCTATCAGTCCAATGGCACTTTTCACAGAACTAAAATAATTCTAAAATTTATATGGAACCACAAAGGACCACAAATTGCCAAAGCAGTCTTGAGAGAAAGAAGAAGAAACCTAGAGCTACCACGCTCCCTGATTTCAAACTACACTGCAAAGCTATAGCAATCAAAACAGTATTATTGGCATAAAAGCAGATACAGATCAATGGATCCCAAGAGACAGCCCAGAAACAAGCCCATGCTTAAATGGTCAATTAATTTACAACAAACAAGGTAAGAATGAATATACAATGTGGAAAGAAAAGTCTTTGCCAATAAAGGGTGCTGACATCTACCACATGCAAGAGAATGACACTAGACCACTTTCTTCTCACACCAGATACAAAAATGAGCTCAATACAGATTACAGATGTGAATGTTAGACCTAAACCATAAAACTCCTGGAAGAAAACATAGGCAGGGAACTCACTGACAGTGCTCATGGAACACTGCTTTTTGGAATGGACTCCAAAGGCAGTAACAATGAAAGTAAAAACAAACACACAGGGTTTACATCAAACTATAAAGCTCGTGCACAGCAAAGGAAACCATGAACAAAATGAAAAGGCAACCTTTTGAACAGAAGAAATTTGCAAATCATGTATCTGAAAGCAGGCTAATATCCAAAATAATTTTTTTAAAAACCTCACACAAGTCAACAAAAAATAATCTGATTTAAAAATGGGCAGAGGTTGGGGTGCCCGGCTGGCTCAGAGAATCACGTGATTCTTGGTCTATGGGTCATGAGTTCAAGCCCCACACAGGATGAGAGATTACTGAAATAAACTGTAAAAACAAACAAATAAGTGGGCAGAGGATCTGAACAGACAGTTTTGCCAAGAGGCCACACGGATGGCCAACAGGCACGCGAAAAGATGCTCTTACTCATCGTCAGGCAAATGCAAATCAAAACCACGATGAGATGTCATTTCACACCTGTCGGAATGACTTCACCAAAAAGATTAAGAAATAACAAGGGATGGAGCGACTGTGGAGAAAAGCGTACCCTCCCACAGTTAGGAATGTGAACTGGTGCAGCCCCCACAGAAAAACAGTATAGAAGCCCCTCAAAAAATTAAACAAACAAACAAAAGCTGCCCTATGACCCACCTACCACCTATTCTACTTCTGGATATTTACCCGAAGAAAATCAACCTATTAATTCGAAAAGACACCAATATAGCACTGTTTACAGCAGCCAAGAGATGGAAACAACCTAAGTATGACTCGATGGCTGGCTGGATAAAGCAGATATGGTACATACGTACATACCTTATTACTCAGCCATCAAAAAGAAGGAAATCTTGGCCATTTGCGACAATACAGATGGACGTTGAGGGTATTATGCTAAGTGAAGTTTAAGTCTAACAGACAAAGATATATACCCCATGATTTCACTTACGTATGGAATCTAAAAAACAGAACTCAGATATGGAAATAGAATGGAGGTTATCAAAGAGAAAGGGAGTTTGAGGGTGGGCGGAGAGGGTGAAGGCAGTCAACTGTATGGTGACAGATGGTGACACTAGACTTAACTGTAGTGATCACTTTATAGTGTGCACAATATTGAATTATGTTGTACACCTGAAACTATTACTATATACCAATTTTAGCTCAGTTTTAAAAAATCCTGAATTCTTTGCTAACATACTCTCCCCTCCCCCACTTTGAATCTTTCTAAAACAGCCACTCTGCATCACCACCAACCTCCTTCCCTCCCTGTTACTCTAGGCTTTCCCTCCGCCACCACCTTGATTGAGCAACTGACCCCCCTCACCCCTCCCTCCCCTCTCCTCTTAGTTGGTAACTGTGCTGATGTGTCTTCTATTTTAACAAATAAGATGATTTCTGAAAGGAGAGGCAGGACGGTGAGTATCCCGTGTTTCATAATGAAGATCTGTGTACTCATCAATATGGGGGTCACATTCAGTAAATTTTTTCTAATCCATTATTCAGTTTCCTTCTTTGAGAACACCAATTATGAATTTTAGCCTTACTTCCCAGCCAATCATTTTTTTCTCTAATCCTAGCTAGCATACTGTTTACAACCATTTTATTTTCCTTCTAAAGGGGAAAAAAAAATCCCGGGGCCCCTGGGTGACACAGTCCGTTGAGCATCCGACTCTTGATTTCGGCTCAGGTCATGATCTCAGGGTCACGGGGTCAAGACCTGTCTCAGGCTCCATGCTCAGCGCGAGTCTCCTTGGGATTGTCTCTCTCCCTCTGCACCACTCACTGCACCCCTCAGCTCACGCATGCACCCCCGCATGCAAGCACGTTCTCTCCCTCTCAAAATAAGTAAGTAAATAAATAAAATATTTAAAAAAAAAAAATCCCAACCTCCATGTCCCTTATGTTTTCAGCGGTGTCTATTCAATTTCGTGTTTCTCTCACATGCTTCTTGGAACCAACCCCAGACAAGAGAAGCTCTCATGGCCCGCCTGTGCCGCTCGCCATTCCCATTGTTCTCTATTTCAAGAACTGTCACCTCACCCATTGTCTTAAGATCTGTAGCTGTGAGCATCCTTTCTTGGCTTCTCCCCACATTCTCAGCTTGGCCTCCACTGCTTTAGAAAGGCGTTCTTCACATGTTACCATCATGGATTAGAGATCAAACCGAGCAAGTGAATTCCGGTTTTCTTGTCCTTTTTGCTCCTTTAGTGACCGCGGAAGAGGCAGCATCCATCCTACCTTAAAACTGAAAACCCCCTCAAGTACAGAAAAGAATGACGTAATGATACATGCTACAGTGTGGATGGATACCAGAAAGAGGAAGAGAGAAATAGCTCTACTTCCCTCTCCCCATGTACACACACCAAGGAAAAGGGATAGGAGGACATAAAAGGCGGCCGCCATCTGCATGCCAGAAAGAGAGCCTCACCAGGAACCAAACTGGATGGCACTCGATCTCAGACTTAATGGCCTTCAGAAGTGTGAGAAATTCATTTCTTCTATTCAAGCCACCCAAACTACTGTATTTTATTATGGCAGCCCAAACTAAGCCAATGAATTACGTACGTTTTAATGATCAATTTCCTGTTATGTGAAATTTACCTCAATTAAAAAAATACCTGAAAGTCCCTACACATATCTGGCCCTATTTCTGCTCCATAAAAGGCAAATAATACAAGGCCACTGAAAGAAGGAATGAACAAACAAAAATCTCTGCTGACATCACTTCCTGTTCAGAACTCTACACGAACGTCTACCACCAAAAGGAAAAGAAAATCACAAATTCAAAGGATTCCTGTCCTTATTTGCCTATGAGACTTCATTCCCATTCATTCCCATTATTATCTTCCCAAAATATTATTCCATTCCACTTGTAATGACTCTATTCATCTCCAGTCTCAAAACAACTGTGAGCTCCTCCATAGAGATCTACTAAGATCTATTAAGATCTATTAAGTAAACTCTGCTATGTATCTGTAAATCTGTCCTTGGGGATTTACTGCACTTATATACTGCTTTGATGATTGTTTCTACGGATGCCCTAAATCCTCAATCATATTATAACCTTCTAGAGGGTATGGACCACGTTCTTAACATTTAAATTCTTCACTGTACTCAACACATAGCTTTTCATAAAGAACATTTTCTTTAAAGACTGTTTTTGAGAAAGAGAAAGAGAGAGAGAGAATGCAAGCAGTAGGAGGGGCAGAGGGAGAGAATCTCAAGCAAACTCCCCACTGAGAACAGGTTCAGTCCCACGACCCATGAGATCACGACCTGAGCCAAAACCCAGAGTTGGACGCTCAACCAACTGAGCTACCGAGGACATCTCCCTCTTTCCTTCAAGATTTTATTTATTTATTTAAGATGGAGAGAGAGGGGGCACAAGCAGCGGGAGGGGTGGAGAAGGAGAAGCAGACTCTGCTAATCAGGGAACCCATTGCAGGGCTCGATCCCAGGACTCCGAGATCATGACCTGAGCTGAAGGCAGATTCTTAACCCATTGAGCCACCCAGGTGCCCCCAAAGACATTTTCGATAAGAAGTTTATCAGTGAACAAAAGCTGATTTAGTTGAAAGAGGAAACTGGAAGAGCTAGTGTCCTGAGCAGGTCAATTAACCACTGAGCACTTTAAATGCAGCTACATGACACTGACAAAGTATTTAACATAAAGAGACTCCCATAATAAATTTCACTTGCTTCTTAGTATCAATTATCATTTCCTCATTAATAATTCATAGCCACCTTAGCACATTTTAATAGTGTGATAGGTTTATTATTATAAATGAGGATTTTTAAAAATAGATTCATATTAAATTTAAAATAGCTTTCTGTCATTAAGGAGTTTCCAATTCTCTTATAACAATAGGAGAAAATAACAGTAGGCAATTTCACATGCTATTTCTATACTGCTCGTACTGAGCAAGCGCCATAAAGGTGTACCAATTTTGAGCGTTTTATAAATAACATTTATGAAATTTTTGTTTAGTGGTAAATAATCAGATTTTAATTTAAAAGTTAGAACAAGGGAAGGCGCCTGGGTGGCTCAGTCATTAAATGTCTGCCTTCAGCTCAGGTCATGATTCCACGGTCCTGGGATTGAGCCCCCCATCAGGCTCCCTGCTCAGTGGGAAACCTGCTGCTCCGTCTCCCATTCCCCCTGCTTGTGTTCCCTCTCTCACTGTGTCTCTCTGTCAAATAAAGAAATAAAATCTTAAAATAAATAAATAAATAAATGAACAAGGATGCATTAGCCAAGTACATAATGTTCTTATTTTCTCTACATATATTCAAATCCAAAAGCATATCAAGAGCGTCTGCTTTCAGACTAAGGTGACCTAAAGGAACACAGCAAGAATGTCAGAAGCTAAATGTATTTTTACCTCCACTGTTGCCTCAGAGGTAGCACATCTCTAATATGATATAAAGACAGCCTTACCAGGTAATTTCTTTTCTAGTTGCTGCTGTTCATCTTCTAAAACTGGTTCCTCGGGTAACCTCTGATCTGCTGCCGTAGAGCTGATGACAGATACACCACTGCCAGAGCGAACTCGTCTGCAATGGTGTAAAAGAAGAGAAAAATCAGAGTCACAGAAAGTGGTCCAGGTAGAACTGAGCAAATCATGGAAAAGAACTGTTGAGGAGTATGCCACATCATGGAGTAAATTTCACTTACAGTGAGGAAAAAATAAAGATCTGGTCCTCCTTACTTACAAAGAGTTTTTAAAAAATGACTACGTGAGTATCATCAGACCCTAGAGCGCCCAGCTTGCTCAAATGTCTAGAGCCATCAGCAAAATCAGGGCAATTCCAGAGGATTGAACTGGTGAATAACCACCATGTGGTCTAGAATAGTGCCTGGGTCACAGTCAAGTGCTCACTGTGGATATCACTACCCTTTTATGGAACATAAATCCACCAAGGGAAGACATAGTATACTTTACAGTCCCTAAAACAAATCATTTAGTTTACTGGTTCGTTCCACCTTAAACCATTAACCTTCCTCTTTTAAAGAAATCTACCTTTTCGTTAATGCTTTTTTATCAGCCTCCAGTCTTGAGTCTCTTGGAGTGAGTGACCCGTGCGGCTGTCAGACTCTGCGGACAAAGTGTCCAGCTACGGTGTCTTCCAACAGCCAGATTTCTCGGCTCGCTTCATGCCCGCGCTGACAGCCATGGCACCGTTTCTCTTACCTTTACGGGGATCTACCCCCACCCAGCACGGCATCAGGACAGAAATTCCTATTTGTCTTTCTCTCTCTGTTCTCTGTGTTTAAGATTTCATACTTGTCTTTTAAGGTTAAAGCCATGAGCCGTCGTTGTCTGGGAGGGGAGGCGTGTGTGGTGCACCAAGGCAGAGGACATGAGTCACGGCACATTCCTCCCAACTGGACTTTGGTCTACTCTCTTGACAACTCCGCTGAAGCTGTGTTTTGGACCAGGATAATTTTCTTTAATTATCTTCCTGATTGTAATTTCTACACCGCCTGTATTTTGTTACTTAACCGATGTGTAGAATTCACAGGCAGAATCTCCCTGCCTTAGTTTCTATGTATGGGTTAATATGGTTTCACTTTAACTGCTAAAATATTTGGTAAACGTTGACTAGATAGATTGGTACAAAAACTGACAACTTTTTGATGTTTCACTAATAGACTATAGGTACTTTAAAGAACAGAACACACCCAAGATTAACACAGGTCTAGATAGGAACATTTTCTTGAATTCATGGATATTTCATTTCCTTGCCAGGAATAAAAATGACTAAAAGAGACACAGCCAGCAAAGCCCAGTCTGAAACTCACAGACCAGATACACAATTTCTTGTAAGAGCCAAGTGTTCCTTACCTAAAGGAAGGTGGAATGTACTCCGGAGGCAGGACAGGTGGCAGTGGTTGGCCAGACATTGCGACATCGATGAGGTGCATGGCCAAAATGAACTCTTCTGCTGTGAGTTTTCCATCTTGATCAATGTCAGAAAGATTCCTATTCAACAAAAAGATAACCATATTCCAGTTTCATGAAAATGCATGTGTGTTACTATTCACAAGTGATTGACATGTTCTGTTTCCTTATTCTGACTCTAGGCCAGTTGAGTCTCACTGGGCCTCGGTTTATAAAAATAGTACCTATTTCGTAGTACTGCTGCAAAGATAAAATGAGACAATCCAAATCGTTGGGATGGTGTCCAGCACTCAGCAAATGTTAACTGTGATTATAATTATCCTCTTCTCGAGCCTCGCCGGCCCATTTAAAATGTATCGTACTCACATCCTACGTGTCTTTAAACACTATGCTCGGCAAACTAGTGGGTCAGAGAGTAAACATCAAAGCTTCACAAGACGTGGTCTCTATTCACACTGAATTCTGCCCCTGTGGCAGGAAGGCAGCCACAGATACATAAATAAATGGGTGTAAAACTTCATTTACAAACACAGGTGCAGGCCAAGTTCTACTCCTTTAGATTAGCTGGCCAACGGCTGATCTAGACCTCCAAGGGCAGATCTTCACAGCTTTCAGCCCAGAGTCAAGATGTTTGCTGCTCCTTAGTCACAATATTCAATGGCTACCATTCTTCATAATCAGCTTGCCCTAGTAGCTAGTGAGAGTAAACAGATTTTTCCAGCGAATCTAAGAACAGGATTTTACTTTAATCACTTCTGGGCGCCAAAAGAGGATGTACGACAACCAAGATGTCCACCAGCATGCCAACCGTTCAGATAGGACATTGGGAACCTGGCTTTGCTGATACCCTAAATCAAGAAATTCCTCTGAAATCTGAAATTTCCTTGAGTGGCATAAGCCAGTTTTTGTTATAAGGTATAATGGCCGTGCAGTGACATTTGCCCTTTCTAGAGTACAGTTCCGCAAGTTCTGACTGATTCCGTTGTGTATCCCGATATACAGAACATTTCCATCACCAGGCAAACTTCTGCCATTTCTTAGCCCTTTGCCTTGCACACGGACCCTGGCAACCGATGATCTCCTTTCCGTCCCTCGAGCTTTGTATTTTCAGATGCCAGACTCCTGCCTGCTCTTCCTCATCTTCTCTTCCTTCCCGGCCCCCACTACAGCCATTCCCCGGCAAATACAGGTGGGAATCAACCTCCCCCCCCGCAAATTCTTGCCTAAATAATGGCTGTAAACACTTCATTAAAACATCTTTTTATTGTATAGAAAGGGAATATAATAACATTCTAGTAGAAGACTCAAGTATTTTTTCCAAAGAGGGCAGCTTATAAATGAGATACTTAAGCATTTCGATAGACTCTAGCGTCGTGAGAACACCTAATGAACTACCAATCAACCTCCATAAATGTTGGCTCTCAAGTTTACATTTCAGAGGGTCCTAGGATTCTGGTACATACTCAGAGAGATCTGGATGTGTCATATTAACTGGTATTTATAATATATAAATATTATATATAAATATAACTTTATATTTATATTTATATAAATATGTAACTGGTAATAATATTAACATATTATGTTTACTACCTGGTCTATTATTATTTTCTATTTCAAAGGAAGACCCTTAATACGGAGCGGAAGGGACCAGGATGGGGGAAGGGACTCATTTCTGGAGCAACCGTATGAAAAAACCGATTTTGCTCTATGGCAAAATCATGAACCTCGAATCACTTAAAGTAATCAAAGCCTATTAAAATTCCTTCCAAAACAGGGGCACCTGGGTGGCTCAGTCAGTTAAGCATCTCACTACTGATTTCAGCTCAGGTCATGATCTCAGGGTTGTGAGATGGAGCTGCACACTGGGCTCTGTGCTGCGTGTGGAGCCCGCTTAAGATTCCCTCTCTCCCTCTGTCCCTCCCTCACCCTCCTTTCCTCCCTCTCTCTCTGAAAGAAAGAAAAAAAAGTCATTGCGAAATAGACATTTATGTGCCTTATGATGAAAGTACACTGTAATATCCGATATAGTCTTGCAAAAAAAAAAAAAAATCAAACTTGAATCTGATGAGTGGTTCTCACGAGTGGGATGATTTTGTCCCCCAAGGGACATTTGTCAACACATGGACACATCACGGGTTGTCGAAATGGGGGTGGGGGTCATGTTCCTGGCATCTAACAGGTAGAGGCCAAAGATGGTACCGAACAGCCTTCAATGCACGGGACAGTCCTCCACAACAATCCACGGGACAGCCCCCCACAACAATCCACGGGACAGCCCCCCACAACAGTCCACGGGACAACCCCCTACAACAATCCACGGGACAGCCCCCCACAACAATACACGGGACAGCCCCCCACAACAAAAAATTATCAGGCCCAAAGGGTCCGTCGTGTTGAAGAGGAGAAAATCTGCTCTAGATCCGATTACCAATCTCCAGGAAACACAGGAATAAATGAACCCAACCACCAAAAGATAGACTAGAAGAAACTACAGGATAAACAATCTAGGTTTTTCTTTTTCGGGGTGATTAGAGAACAAGGGGGAGTTTACAGAACACTTAAAAGATGTGTCAACCAACTGATACAAAATACAGACTTATTTGAACAAGAATCTGATTTGAACAAGTCAACAACAAAAAATTAGGAGCCAATCTAACGAACCTGGTCAGTATGTGATTAACTTAATGATAAGAATTACTATTAAAAAGTTTTGGTGGACTACTGGTATTGTAGTCCTCTTAAAAAAAAATCCCTATCTCTTTTAGAAATACAAGATAAAATATCTGCAGATGAAAATGAAATATAATTACTTAGATCTGGCTTAAAATAATCAGGAACGAGGAGGGGAGAACCAGGACTGGTCACAAGTTGAGACTTACTTTAAACTGTGTTATGAGTTCTAGAGAATTCATTAATCTCTCTGCTTCTGTGTCTTTCAAAATCAAAAAGGGGAAAGAGTAAGAGAGGTAATAGTCACAGATGACTGGAAAATTAAGCATAATTCCTATATCCCCACCTATAAATATGGGTATTAATCTAAAGACCCATAAAACCATACTGATTTAATCCACTTCATACGAATCAAGGAGCTTTTCATTCCTTACCATATTGAAGCCAGCTGAGCCTGTGGCAAACTTGATTGCATAAGAATAGTTCTTGCTTGGGGACCTAAACAGAAACCAGGGAAAAAATATAAAGATGAATCAGCAAATCTTCACTGTCCAGGAAGCCCAGTGTTGTGCACGTAAAGCACTATGCAATCTCATGCAATCACGGTGCTTTATACAATATTTGCTAGTACCCAAGGGCTTTTTCACAAGGAAATTAAGCCCCAATGAAAAGAGGGGAAAAAAAACAACGCACACCGCAGAATCCAGCATCAACTCGATAAATTCTTGTTAAATGGATATTTAATGAAAAGAGAGTATGTAAAAGATCAAAGTTTCAAAATGGAACCTGCCCTTTGATCCAGATTATCATCTCTATTTGTATCAGGCTTTTATTTACAAAGCTGAAACTTACTGTCTCTAAACACAGCATCTTCTGCCACCATCTGCTCTCTCCACCAGGACCACTATTGGAGAAGACTGAGAGACTCTTACAGGGGGAAGGACTTAAGAGAGGACAATTCCTGTAACTGTTTTGTTACAGACTTAAAAAAAAAAAAAAAGAAGGAAGGAAGGAAGGAAGGAAGGAAGGAAAGAAAGAAAGAAAGAAAGAAAGAAAGAAAGAAAGAGGGTCTTGCACAAGGCTGCACAAATGGCTAATATCACAATCATTTCTTATGTTAGCAATAAAAAAATGCCTGGAATTCCAACTCTGCTCTTCAAATCACCTCTCGTTTCTTAAAGTACTTGTAAATATCTTCACCTCTGGCATGAAACTGGGCTTAGATATCAGATAAAGTCTGCGGTGAGAAATTTTGAGTGCTGAAATAAACCAGTGCTGGAGGGAGACAAATATGTCTTCTATCCATCACTGACTCTCAAGTTGTGGCACCGGGATGACTGATGGACAAAGGAATGGAGAGCTGTCACAATTTGGTTGGGAAGACTGCCAAGTATAAATTTTTGCTTTCAGCTATTTCATTTTTCAAATGGCACCTCATCAAAAAAACATAAAAGTGGATGTGTTTTTGCAAAGCAAGCAGTAGCAGTTAGGGACCTCTGAGAATCACCCCCAATGTGTCAGCACAGGAAGTGCCCAAGAACTTGCCACAAGATTCGGGCAGGCAGTTTCCTCATTCATCGGACCTAGTTTTCTCATTTCAGATGTCCTTTCCAGATTTAAGAGTCTGTGCTCCATCAAATAAGGAACTATAACATGTAGCTTAAGATAGTGGTCACACATAAAAAATGCTCAATTAATGGTAGTTAGTATTATAGACAAAATTTAATCTTGATTGCCATATAAAATATGGCCAGAAAAGCACACATAAACATATACATGTGTATTTTTACATGTGTACAGGTATACAGCTTAATTTACCAAAATGAAAATGGTCAAGTAAATCCTACCTAGACTATGAAACAGTAGTACCCCAAAAACCCTAACCAGCTCCCTTTCTTTTTTTTAGAGAAGGGGAGGTGCAGGGTAGAAGGGGCATGGGAGAGAGAGAATCTTAGGCAGGCTCCATGCCCAGTGCGGAGCCAGTGCAGGGCTCTATCTCACCAGCTAAACGAGCTGAGCCATGCAGGAACCCCAGCTCCAGCTCCCTTCTAATCATCCCCCCAACCAAGTGTAGCCCAACTTCTAAGAGCACTTGTTATGTCTGGCTTATTTGGTTCCACATACTGTATGTAATTGTAGGACATGAACCCTAAGAGCTGTGTGGTATATCATTTTGTGAACACGTAACAATCTATGTATCCATTCTGTTGATGGGCATTCAGATAGTTTTCAGTTTGAGGCTATTATGAAGAGCAAACCTTCTAGGTTTTGGCACACATATGTACACATTCCTGTTGGACGAGTGTGTGTGTGTGTGTGTGTGCTTGCACGTGTGTTGGTGTCTGTGTACTGGGAGTCTCTGAGAAGCAATCCTCTTTAATGTGACAGCTCTAGAAGTTCTGTGGTACACTGGAATGAGGAGAGTACACTGATCATTTTGTTTAGTCGCTAATTTTATACTTAGCATGCTGGAACATCAAAGTAGAATTAGCAAAACTTTGGTGAAGCTTTAATTGATACTTGTAATAATTCTCTCCACCTCAGAACTGCATAAAAGGAAGAGAGTATTTGACCTACTACCAATAAACAATAATAATAAACAAAAAGACCTCGTCCTGGGCCTGGATGGGCAGCAGGAGACTTGGATTCCAGTCCCGACGCTTCCGGCTCCCCAATGGCATATGACATTAACAAAGGTACTTTCACTCTCTCAGAGTTAAGTTCTTTCCTCTCTAAGTGCGGGCAACGATCTGCAGAAGCACCGGTAGACAGCCACAGCCCACAGGCCGTATCTGGTCCCCCATCTGTTTTTGTAAATGAAGTTTTCTTGCCCATTCACTGGAGTGTGATCCCTGGCTCCTTTTATACTAGAATGGCACAGCTGAGGAGTTGTGGCAGACAAAACGTAAGCCTGATACGCTTAAGGTTTTGTTCTCTACAGAAGTTTGTTAACTACCACACTAGAAGACCACAGCTGTCTTCTGCAATTCTAATACTTGACTCTGTACGTCTTAAGACAAGGCTGTGAAACAACAGAAGGGATGGCCAGCAAGGTCTCCGAGCCTAACAGAACAGTATAAAACTGCACTCTCTAGTACGGAGAACTATCCTGTGGAAGCCCACATACAATAAGGGATATCAGTTTGGGGTACATTGGAAACATTATGGGGAGAAACAGAAATCCCCAGTTCATAAACCGTACTGTGGGCACCCAGGTTCGTGTGGGAAAGCATGCACAGGAAAGACAGAAATGATTAGAGTTAATGCTTTATCTCAAACAAAACCTAACATTTTAGCCTTTGTGATTAATATATGAATAACTAAATAGCATATTCACTGTTTTAGAATGCAAGGTTAATAAAATCCCTCTTTGAGAGGCTAGCATTGAGAGGACTGTCAGAATTCCATAGCTGCATTACATTACATTATCTTGATTAAAGAACGGGCTCTATTTTTTAAAACTGTCTCTCTTAATAGCGTGTAAGAGCAAACACATCGAGTTGAGAAGGAACGAGGGGGGACCCACAACAGGTGTATTAGCTAAATGAACCCAAGTAATCAGTGGGGTCAAATGTGCCGCTGCTAGATTAGCGTCACTTCCCACAGCGGACGAGCTCGTATCACAAGCTCAGAGAGTTAAGTACACAAATAAACATGAACAAAATCTGCTCATTCGGGTATATATCAAATTTTACTGTCTACCTCACATATTAAAAGTTCTAAATATTTAAGTCCTTGCATCATTATCTCTGGGATGAAGACACTGGATTTCATTCATAAAACGAAGATCCTACCAAGAAAGAGGACTGCTGCATCAATGTCACATCGGATACTATTTTAATTAATTCACAGCAAACACCAACTATGCTTAGAAGAATTGTTCTCAGATTCACTGACAACATAGTTTTGGGTCTGTACAAAGCACTAGTGTGAAACAGACCATATAGAATTATACTTAAAACTGTACTACTGGGGGTGCGTGGGTGGCTCAGTGGGTTAAGCCTCTGCCTTTGGCTCAGGTCATGATCCCAGGGTCCTGGGATCGCGCCCCGCATCAGGCTCTCTGCTTGGCGGGGAGCCTGCTTCCCCCTCTGTCTCTGCCTGCCTGCTTATGATCTCTCTCTCTCTCTGTCAAATAAATAAATAAAATCTTCAAAACAAAACTGTACTACTGAATATTCCTTCAGGGCCTGTATAAGCAGGACTGGTTTCCCATGGTATGCGCAAAAATGACAGCTATGTTTTAGCAGAGTGAGCATGGCATTTAGACAATCTGTGTATAATTACAACTTGCCCCCCTTGGATATAAATATATACTTAGTTGAGAAGACTGATGAGATCCATTAGGGGTAAGGCTCAAGATTAGATCAGACCCTCCCAAATCTCACCCAACCCTGATATTTTTTAACAGATGAACTTTTCTTTTGGAAGTAAAAATTATAATTGTAAGTGACAGCACAAAAAAAAAAGATAGTAAGACTCAGAAATTTAAAATATCTTTCTCCACTTCAGGAAAATTCACTCTTCCTCCTTCCTTCTGTATTTGTTAAAGGGCAATTACAATTCGTCCCTTCTCAATGTTCAGATCAGAGGTACCTATTTTCCTTATTAAAATTACACTTTTTACAATTCTGGATTGTTTAGCAGCCCTCATTAGAAACACCTCTGGATAGTATTGTTAAAATCCTTTCTAGTGATATAGATAACCAAATCTTTTTTTTTTTTTCCTTAAATCCACAGAGTTCATATAACCTAACTCTGACCTCTTGTACAAGAAATAAGATCTAAGTAGGTAAACTGACCTCCAAGCTAGTTAGTGGCAGAAGCAGGTTCAAAACTCCCTGACCAATTACCTTCAGCCTGCAAACTGCCTTAAACACGGGCTCTTTGAGCAGACAGGTTCAAGTTCGTGTACAAAGCGGGACTTCAGAACCTGAACCAGTTTGCGCTTACAGCAGTGTTTCTGCGCTAGCACTCTGATTTGCATGCTAGTGGTGTCTACTGCGCAGCAGGACCCGGGGTGTATGTTCCATTTACCAAGAACCCGGCTCAAAGCCTGAGGCACTGGAGAAGAAAGTTAACTGTGGCCTTATCAGGAGACAAGAACTCAAGACAAGAAGGACAATGAAAACCCTGTTTCGGGGAAAAAAAGCAAATAGAGAAAGGCATTTGCAGACTATCTATGGTCCAACATCTGGAAGCAATCTGCATTTGGAATCAAAATCACATTTCACTAAATTAATTCTCATTTGTAAATACCTGTTAAGTGTCCACTCATAGTTTTGTCATGACTATTGAATAACTGTCTGTATTTCAGTCTGGATGACTGCGGGACAGCCCACTCTGCCACGGGAGGGACACTGTGGGGAAAGAGGATGAACAATGAGGAACATATTGACATTCCTTAACACCAGTGAACTAAGAACTTCCCTAGAAAACAGCTTTACCATTTTATTCACTTTCTAATCACTACTTCTGATTTTCTGTAATGAGTATTTCTGTATTTTAAGGTTAGAAACATTTCTCTCAAAACAGATAGGCTTTTTTTCCCCCCAGAATCGAGGGTAAACACAGCAGACCAAGTGACAGTTCCAAGTTATTGATATGAGTCATAATTTAAAGGTTCTACAAAATACAGAAAAATCTCCTTGTCAATGAAGTGATACACTAGTGCCCAGGCTTTTCCAAACTTCTAGAACAGTTCTCTTTTGGCTTAAAAAGCAATGCTGAGGGGCGCCTGGGTGGCTCAGTGGGTTAAAGCCTCTGCCTTCGGCTCAGGTCATGATCCCGGGGTCCTGGGATCGAGCCCCGCATCGGGCTCTCTGCTCCGCGGAGGGCCTGCTTCCTCCTCTCTCCCTGCCTGCCTCCCTGCCTGCTTGTGATCTCTCTCTCTCTGTCAAATGAATAAATAAAATCTTTAAAAAAAAAAAAAAAAAAAAGCAATGCTGATAGCAAACAGATTAAGTTCCTCTAAAGGTATTCATTCCAGGCACCTGGGTGGCTCAGTGTTAAGGTTAAGACGCTGCCTTCAGCTCAGATCGTGATCTCAGGGTCCTACAATCGAGCCCCACATACATTTCTCTGCTCAGCAGAGAGCCTGCTTCCCCCTCTCTCTCTCTGCCTGCCTCTCTGCCTACTTGTGATCTCTTTCTCTCTGTTAAATAAATAAAATCTTAAAAAAATAATAAAGCTATTCATTCTTTAATATTTAAACTTTCTATTGAGCAAAATATATTAACTTCGTAATGAAGGGGAACCATTTCATTCTGGGAAGTTTCAATTCCCACAAAGGGAGAGTGAACAGAACATACCCAGAGTCATGGCAAATCAGGGAGCAGTCATGGAAGGAGCTTTGCTTTCTCGCCTGCAATCCAGGGCTGACCTTTCCCTGCTGAGCCACGGAAACAGCTACCAGCAGTCAGTGGGGTCTACACCTCCTTAGTGATCGGGTCTCAGGGTAGTTCCACACAACTATCACCTATGGCTTGCCAGAGCCTGTGTCTAAGCCGGACAATTGAAACACAACGGCTAAGCTTTCAGTAAAAGATGGCATTCCATTTCCAGGGTAGATTATAACTAATGTCCCATTTGCAATTTCCTTTGATTTCAACAAAAATATCTATTTCTCATATATAAAAGCAAAATTTTAATAAACTAAACCTCTTAGTCATCATTTATATATGTTATCTATGCACTCATATTTGTAATACACACTCCATAAAGCATAGTAAACAACTCCCGAACACTTGAAAAGTATCTAATTATATCCACTTTTTCAATTCTTATACATTTCTTAATAAAAAACACTTACCAAGATCGATTCTGCTGTGAGTAATTCCACAACACCTCTCTCATTTTAAACTAACTAATATTTTGCTGATTCCAACCCTTGCCTACTTGTCAAAAGCTAATTATCTCTCCCCTGCACCCCAGAAATACAGGGTGTTGCACGCAGAAGCTGCCCCAGATTATACTTATCAAGTCCAAGTTTTCTGCTGAGACTTTCCTGAAAATTTAAATGCACTGAACACCTCACTAACAGGTAACCAAAAACTAGATGCCACATCTAAAAATATGCTTGAAATTTAAATTATTAAAAAGGTGACTACCCAAAAAATCCCCAACACCAGTTGTCTTAATAACATTAATGTTTGCTGATACTGATTATTTATTCATTCTTGTGTCACAAATCAATTTTAAGGCAGATCTGAAAATCTCTCGTGGAAGAGACACAGAAAACCCCAAGTAAAAGAGAGAGACTAAGAAAGAAGGAATTCAGTGTTAGGATACATCTCAGCTCTGCCTTGTGGTAACATGTAAACTGTCAGTGAGGATTCTAACCTCTCGGGGGTTTTCTTCCTCATTCACAATTCTGAGACAGTATCTACTGCAGGTGGTCGTGGGGGCTGAGTGGGATTAATGAGGTGTCTGGCACAAAGATGCTCAATAATGTTCTGGAATCTTAGGAGTAAAACCTTAACTGAGTGGAACACAAATGCCACTACACCACCATTAAACCAAGCTCCCAGAGCAATCTTCCGTGGTTAGGAAATCATGCCTTAACATCAGAAAGAACTCAGTTCAACTCCTGGCTCTGCCACTTCTGAGTTGGGCTATTTTGGGCAAATGACTAATGTCTCTGGGCTTCCTCCTTATCTACAACATAGAAGAAGAGTCAGCTTTTAGGGAAGACAGTGAGCATTCCAAGAGCTATAATGTGCATAAATCAGCATTCGGCATGATGCTTTTCAGTGTATGCATTTCCTTTAAATCATTTTATAAAGGGTTATACATTGTTCAACTACATTCTATACACTCTTCTCCTGAAATGGGAGAATGACTTGGTTTACTTAGGAATGATTTCTAAGGAGGACTAAAACAAGAAAAGATGGAAACATCTTCATTTACGTCCCCTTTTAACTGCAATAGTTCTGAGACGGCTTACAAAGAGACTTAACTTTTCATCCTAGTGCAACAGTGTGCAAGGGGGAAATTAAGAGGTAAAAGGAAATAAAAATAAGAAAAATCATATGAAAACAAGATCGGTCAAAATATAAGCAGTAAGGTCATATCAGCTTTCCCAAAACTGGGCCAAATATTTGATTAGTAACGACTGTCCACTAATCTGAATTAATTCATTTCACAAAAAGTGGTTTAAAATAAGGTTTCAGGGGCGCCTGGGTGGCTCAGTGGGTTAAGCCTCTGCCTTAGGCTCGGGTCATGATCTCAGGGTCCTGCGATCGAGCCCTGCGTTGGGAATCTCTGCTCAGCGGGGAGCCTGCTTCCTCCCCTCTCTCTGCCTGCCCCTCTGCCTACTTGTGATCCCTGTCTGTCAAATAAATAAATAAATAAATAATCTTTTAAAAAAAAAATAATAAAATAAGGTTTCAGTAACAAACCACACAGATTCCATGAGATTATCTGAGACAGATTTAAAAATAAGGAAAACTGTGGCTCTAATCTTCATCTAAAAAAATTTATACATAAACTCTTAAATGACTAATACAAAATATTTTCCCCTCCTAACTGGAGTTCGATTTCAGCATGTTTAAACATTAGTAAAACTGGTACCTATTTGTTTTCCTTGCTAAAAAAAATAACACCCAAAGCTTTTCAAAGAACTGTCATGTTCTTTATCATCTCTGTAACATGTATGTGATAAAAACTGGTAACATTATCCAGAACTAATTACTGGCATCCTACAAAATAGAAGATAATAAAGAAGTACTTAATTCTTTTTCAGTTTTAGGAGTTAATCAGATAATGGCTTTAACCCAACTGCCAGTTTAAAAACAAACACACTTACCTAAAACAAGCACACTTACCTGGCCACATCGAATGACTGTGCCTTCTGTAATTTAGTGTTTAACTGTGACCCGGGACCAGATCTACTAAAGGAAGAGCTCTTTGGCAATGTGGCTGCTGTAAAAATAAATAAATGCTGAAAATTTTAATCCTATGAAGAAAAGAAACATTTCCCTACTAATGAAAATGAGAATACACAGTCACCAAATATGAGGCAAAAATTATTCTTCCCTTATCAGCCAGGACCCCAAAAGAGTTATTCCCCCCTTGCTCCCTGCCCCTTGCCAAAAAATTTTCCACATTTGCTCATTTCTGCTGAAAATCACCTTACTAAGTAGAACTGTTAACAATCCATGGATTTAACTTTTTTTTAAAGGTTTCCTATCACATTTTATGGGATCTATCCCTACAGCTTAAGAAACAACAGCTTAAATACATAGGATATGGCATTTTCTTTACTTGTGCTAATGGAGTGGAAGTTCCAGATGAGCAGAGCCAAAACGTCAGAGCCTTGCAGTCCTGGCCTGACACCCTGGGATGCTAGGGAAGGCCAGCTCTCGTGTCTGATTCTAATTCAGCTCGGTTAGCGGTGTCCCAGGGAAAAACTGAGCCGCAGCCTGGTCCTCCTCATTCCGCCCACTAATCCTGCAACATGTACCATCAGCCACAAAAGAAATGAGACAGAGTGTGTGGATTCACAGATACTACTGGAAAAGCAACTGCCAACAATTTTCTCAGCTGTCCTCCTACCTGCAGACTTGGTCACAAATGAAAGGTAAACTACGTGGGACAAGAAAATTTTAAAAACAAAAACAAAGGGGCGCCTGAGTGGCTCAGTGGGTTAAAGCCTCTGCCTTCGGCTCAGGTCATGATCCCAAGGAACTGGGATCGAGCCCCACATCAGGCTCTCTGCTCTGCAGGGAGCCTGCTTCCTCCTCTCTCTCTCTGCCTGCCTCTCTGCCTACTTGTGATCTCTCTCTCTCTCTGTCAAATAAATAAATAAAATCTTTAAAAAAAAACAAAAACAAAAACAAAAAACGGTGGCATATTTAGATTCTTTGCCTATTAACTCCAAGACAGATCCTGACAGATGTAATGAAGCCACATAGCTGGGCAGAGAAATGATGATTCAAACACAACCATCACCCATAGCTAAAACCCAGGTCATCCTCACTACCGAATAAGGCAGACACAGCCGAAGTACTAAAAAAAATTAAAAAAAACAAAAAAACAGAAAAAAAAAAAAACCTTCCCCCAGGGACATCTGGATGGCTCAGTTGGTTAAGAATGTGACTCTTGGGGACGCCTGGGTGGCTCAGTTGGTTAAGCGGCTGCCTTCAGCTCAGGTCATGATCCCAGCGTCCTGGGATGGAGTCCCACATTGGGCTCCTTGCTCGGCGGGGAGCCTGCTTCTCCCTCTGCCTCTGCCTGCCTCTCTGTCTGCCTGTGCTCGCTCGCTCTCTCTCCCTCTGTCTCTGACAAATAAATAAATAAATAAAATCTTTAAAAAAAAAAAAAAAAAAGAATGTGACTCTTGGTTTGGGTTCTGGTCATGATCTCAGGGTCGTGGGATCGAGCCCCAAATCGGCCTCAACACTCAGCGCGGAATCTGCTTGCGCCTCTCGCTCTGCTCCTCCCCGGCTTTCTCTCAAGTAAATAAATAAATAAAATCTTTGAAAAAAATACTTCCCCCACCAGGTACGAATTTACGAAGATTTGTAGACCACACCTACAGTTTATGCTTTCTTTTCACTGAAGGGAAAAGCCTTCCAGTTAAGTCTCAAAATGAAACTAGCTACACCAGGAACTTTCTAATCCTTGCCTTCAATGACGTGAGCGGGTACTGCTCCATCCTCAATGCATCTAGCCACTTAATCAATGTCCTTCTCCCTTCCACCTGATTCACTGTGCCTCCTCAAAGGAAAAAAAAAAAAGGGAATATACAATGTTCCTTCTTCTCCCCCCACATAATCCAACTCCTAAGGGAATGGGCTGTTTATCAGCGATTCCTAGCAGCTGGAGGAAAGTAGTAACTGACACATGGAAATAGAAAATGTTCAATTATTGCTCAAATCTCACTTGCTCCTGCCAAGCCGTGGAAAGGGAATTACGCTCTTCGTTTTTAGCTGTTGAGTTCACCTTTGCCCATGCGGTACCAAATCCGGCACTTCGCTCTCCTTTACTTCTCTTTGGCCTTGCACAGCCCACTTAGTATGTCGGAAAAAATGAGATACGTATGTCGGAAAAAATGAGATACTAAGTTTGAAGAAGGAAGATAGCTTCCTCCGGAACAAAATGCCACTCAAAATCAGAAAGTGAAGACAGAAGATTCAGCAAGAAGGAAGAGTAAAACACACATAAAAATTCAGCCTGTGGATTGAGCAGGTCACATACCAGGATGAGCAAATGCGGGCAGAGGCTGTATGACAGGGGGAGCCCCGTTGGCCAGGGGAGGCACTGCTGCTGTAGGAACAGAAGATACTAGAGGTGGAGACATTCCCACAACTGGAATGGATCCCATTGGCACTGGAGCGACGGCTGTAAGTGGTGGCATGCTGGCGATACCTCCTATTCCTAGGGAGGAAAAATCCCAACAAAATTCACACGGAATCACTTGTCCACATTCAATGACAATTAATCCAAGAGTGTTCAAAGAAGCAAATCACTTTCCAGTTGTAATATAGCTCCATTTACAGTATAAACTCAGAAAAAAATTTTATATATATATATAAATTCAGATTAATCACTTTAGAGAATACCAAAAATTATGTCAAGGATCACATCATAAGGGCGCAAGACCCAACTTGAAGAGGGACCTATGGGCCAAGGTTGAGGATCACTAAGAATCGTAACTAATAGAACGAAAACCGCCAAAGAGAATTAAATTTATGAATTCATAATGATACATAAAAACAAATAAAAAATTCTAATTGGCCATCACAGGCAATTTATTCTGAAAACTGGTATAAATAAAGGAGGAAAAGAAAAAAAAATAAAAGAGGAAAAGAAATCAAACCTCTATCCTGCCTTTCCTTTACACACTGAACCTCAGAGAGACAAAGCACTGGACACGGAAACTTCTCTTTGCAGAGCATTCTAACCAGAGTGAAGAAATCATAGAATTAAATAAATGCTTCCTTCCTTTTTTGTTTCTCTGTCTGAACTTGCGGTATTGTGACATAATAAGAAATACATATCTGGTCTTTGCCCACCCCCTCCCCAACCCGGTTCCTGGTTACTGTTCCTGGCAGAGCTCCTACAACCCTTGTGATTTCCTGACTGATAGGAACATCTTTTGTTACAACATTTGGTCTTTGCCCCTGGCTCCTGACACAGGAGCTTCTAAGACCCCTGGAATTTCTGGAGTGATAAGAGTGTCTTTTTGTATTCGGATAAGAAGACTGGCGGCGGGGTCCCTAAACAGATACAGGACAAGGGCTGGTCATGGGCAAGACCACAGCATGGTTGGTGGGACACAACGTTCAATCCCACCCCTCCCTACCTCCATACAGACCTCAGGCGAGCGTAGAGGGGCTAGAGACTGAGCTAATCAATGGCCAAGGAAGGATGTAGCAATCACACCTATCTAATGAAGGCTCCATAAAAACTCCTACTACAGGGTTCGGAGAACTTCCACGCTGGAAACCACAAGCACATGCTGGGAGGGTGGCCCACCCCAACTCCATGGGGACAGAAGCTCTCACACTCAGGACCCTACCGGGCTTTGCCCTTCTATAGCTCTTCATGTGCCTATACATTTGTATGTATCCTTCATCATATCCTTTATAACGAACTGACAAACCTAAGTAAATACTTCCCTGAGTTTTGTGAGGTGCTCTAGCAAATTACAGAAAGGGGAAGCAGGGTATGTGGGAGCCTCGGACTTTGTAGTCAAGTCGCAGAGAAGTAGGGGTACCCTGGGGACCCAGCGCTTGTGACTCAAGCATGAAGTGAGGACAGTGTTGTGGGACTGGACCCTTCCATCCTCAGAATGTGACGCTAACGCCAGCAGTTACCGTCAGAATTGAGTTTAATTATAAGATAGTAAATTAGTGTCCAGAGAGTTGGAAAATTGGGTGGCCTGGTTCTTCTGGACACAAAATTCTTGGCTTAGTAGTTCCTTGATAATCCTAACTATGTTACCATTTCCTTCTGAGATAAAGCACTGCTGGAGAAAAAGTCTGAAGATATTCTAATTTTCTTTCCCTTCTAAGTCATGTGCTTCCTTTTTCTACATACCCAAATAATTTGTTTTACTAGAATTTATCTTAGTGTTGGTTTCTCCAGGCTGATATTCTCAAGCACATGAAATCCTCTTTCAAACACAGTGTCAAATGCTTTAGGTCCAGGAAGTCGTCTTCAACTAGTCTTTGCCATTTGTTCTCGTCCCTTGCTTCGGTCTTCTTCTTTAGGGACTCCATCTCCCTTATATTTAATTTCCTTTGCCTTCAATATTGGTCACTTTTCCTCAATTCCTTATTATCTCTTGTTAATTTTGTTTTCATTCTTGAAATCGGCCTCTTTTCACCTTCTGTTTCTCTTGTGATAGTGTCTCTTGAGTTGCTTCTAGTTTGGTCTCCATTTCTGAAATGACTTTTTTTTTCTTTCTCCTTCTCTCCTGAGTTCTGTTGCCTTATTGCGGCTTTAAAATTCTGATTGTGTTGGTCTTCCACGACTTGTGTCATTTTCTTAGTATTTTTTAGCTTTGGAAATCGCAGGTTACTGGGGTGCCGTCACTGTTCACAGGGCGTTACTCGGCTCTTTATTCTCCTTTTTCTAATAATAACTTTGTGTGGGATTTGACCTTGCCTGATACTGCCCGTCACTCATTTTTATGTGCGCCTTGCTTCCTGGGATTTCCAGCCTCTGTTCTCCACCCCCACGTTTGTCTGGACCTTCTCCTCCTGTGATGTCTGTGTCGCTGCCCTGCTCAACTGATTCCATTCCCAGTCATTTCTCCACAGTGTGGGGGTTTGTCACAGGTGGAAGCTTTGTTGAGCCAGCTTTTAAAAATAGCTGCTACGAAGATCATCATCTTCTTGCCAACTGACTACCTTTACTGAATGAATATTTTCTAAATATTTCTGAAGAAATAAATCTGCCAGAGGCTGTGTTTTGGGTACCATCTCTCTTGACTATGCTAAATCTTAATTCCTGGGCGCCTGGGTGGCTCAGTGGGTTAAGCCTCTGCCTTAGGCTCAGGTCATGGTCCCAGGGTCCTGGGATTGAATCCCACATTGGACTCCGCTCAGCGGGAAGCCTGCTTCCCCCTCTCTCTGCCTGCCTCTCTGACTACTTGTGATTTCTCTCTGTGTTAAATAAATAAAATCTTTAAAATCAATCAATCAATCAATCTTATTCCTGAAATTTTCCCACCTCTCTTCAACCATTGGGTTTTCCCTTGCTCTTTTAAAAATCCAGGGGTAGGGTGCCTGGGTGTTTCAGTGGGTTAAAGCCTCTGCCTCCGACTCAGGTCATGATCCCAGAGTCTGGGATTGAGCCCTGAATCAGGCTCTCTGCTCGGCAAGGAGCCTGCCTCCCTTCCTCTGTCTCTGCCTGCCTCTCTGCCTACTTGTGATCTCTGTCAACTAAATGAATAAAACCTTTAGAAAAAAAAAATTAAAAATAAAAATAAAAATCCAGGGGCACTTCCCATCCTGAACACACCAGCCTTGGAAAGGCCGACAGGCTCTTCCAGCTGCCTCTCTCCTTCACAGTCAAACTACCCCCCTCTTCTAAGCCTCCAATTAGGCTTTTGTCTGTACCACTCCAAAGAAACTGCTTTTCAAGGTCATCTTGCCAAATCCAATCACTGTTCTGTCCCATTCTTCCTCATTCTCACAAAAGCAACTCAAATAATAGAACGCTCCCTCCTTGAAAAATGTTCTTGGCTACTGGGAAACCAACCTCCTCTTGCTTCTTCCCCTTTTACTACCCCTTTAAAATGTCACACAGCATGCCAAGGCTTGGCCCCAGGTCTTCTGCCTGCTCTAGCTACACATTCTAAGATATTTCATCCAGTCCCAGGGCTTTTAATGCCATGCATATTCCAATTCTCCCAGAGCTGATGGTCTCTCTTCTGAGATCCAGACCCATGGATTCATCTGCCTCCTTGGAAATCCACTAAATCTCTCACACCTAACTAGAGACCAAAGCCTGATATACTTTTCCTCCAAAATACAGGATACAATGAGCCTAATCCTATTCTATCTTCCACATTGATTATCACTACCCAGATGGAAAACTCCATCACCTCTTGCCCATAACAAAAACCTCCTTCCTGATTTCCCTGATGCTACTTCGGTTCCCCTGCAACCCAGTCTTCGGATAACGAAGATTATGTTTTCTAAATGTCTATTTATCTATCTGTTTTCTAAATGTCTACTCCCCTACCTGGAAGCTCTCTGTAGCTTTCCACTGCCCCTAGAATACAAGTCTGATTCCTTAGTGGTTTTATTAGGCCCTAAACCATCTGGCTCTTGCCCTACCTCCTTGCCCATAAGGCCTACCAATACCTCAGCCAGCACTGCTTTGCTCTCATTTTTGCTTCTTGCATATACCAACTTCATTTTTGCCTTAGGACCTTTCTTAACTGCTGTTCCATTTGCCTGGAAGGTTTCTCCCCTAGGTTCTTCACGGGGCTCTCATGTCTAGGTCAGCTCAAAGTCATCTCTCCCAGGAGAATTCTGCCCCGATCACCTTCTCCCATCGGTATCTCTATCATATTACCGTTCTTACAGAACTGATTGCCCTTATCTTGCCCTGAAACCGTTCATCTACTTGCTTAGTTTCCCCAACTTAAAAAGCAGCTTCACAGTAGCAGGAGCCATGATGTCCTGCTTACCAACCTGTTCCCAGCAACTAGGACACACCGCTGGGGTTTAAAAAGAATGGTTTAATCTGCAGTACCTGAGTGGCTTAGTCGGTTAGGAGCCAGACTCTTAATTTTGACTCAGGTTATGATCTCAGGGTTACTTATAAGCCTAGGCCCTGTGGGAGACTCCACACAGGGCATGGGGCCTGGTTAAGATTCTTTCTTTCTCCCTTTGCCCCTCTACAATCTAAAAAAAAATAAATAATAAAAATAATAATGATGATTTAATCTAATAAAACCATGGGATCTGGCAAAAAAAAAAAAATTAAACGACAAACTCCCCCTGAAACAGTTGAATATATAGTCAAAAAGGAATTATTCTGTGTGTAATATTCCTTCCTCCACTGAAAGAAAAAGATACCCAGCACACTCACAGAATTTCCTACAATACAGCTCGCTACCCTTAGGCAAGTCACAGCACCACTCACCACAACCCCCTTTTCTCTCCGTAACAGGAAAGGTGAACAAAACAGTTGCTCAACCCACAGCTAGCCTTAATTCCACGTGTTAACACGTGCCTCAGCAGCCCTGCAGACCATGAAGCGTGGAGCAGTGCCGCTCCATGCAACCCCTATGGTTTGGTAAGAATGAAGGTGGGAAGAGAGAAGATGGTAAGGAAACCAAGAGCCTTTGAAAAACGGTATGTGGAGAGGCTCCACCTCCCTTTTTAGGAATGTGGTCTTAAGCCAACTTCACCTTCCTGTGACCTCGGTTCTCTCATTCATGTAACAGGGCTAATAATTTCTGCAGATTTTAGGGTTACTGTTGCGACCAAATAAAATACAATACCTGAAGGTATGATATGTAAAAGGGCCAGGAAATGCCTGGCCAGATAATTTTTACTATTAACTAGAAAGTAATGATCCTAGTAACAAATGATTTTCTTCTCGAATAGCCACATAAGAAGTGTAAAAAAAAAAAAAAAAATTATCCTGGGTTGAGCTGAAAGATAGAACTAGAAATACTAGTAAAGGTCAGGTGTTTGAGCAAAGCTAAGCAAACCTGGTTAGGACACAACGTACTTTTAACTTCTCTCATGTTCTGCCATTCCCTGGTGATTTGCCTCTTGGAAATAATTTACTGAGGATGCTGATGTGGCGAAAAGGAGGGGGAGGAAAGGCAGTGGAGGAGCCCCGGGGAGGAGCTCAGGACTGGATGGCAGAATGGGGGCTCAGAAATTCCAGGCTCCTGGGGCTCCTGGGTGGCTCAGTGGGTTAAAGCCTCTGCTTTCGGCTCAGGTCATAATCCCGGGGTCCTGGGATCAAGCTCTACATCGGGCTCTCTGCTCTGCAGGGAGCCTGCTTTCTTTTCTCTCTCTCTGCCTGCCTCTCTGCCTACTTGTGATCTCTGTCTGTCAAATAAATAAATAAAATCTTTAAAAAAAAAAAAAAAAAAAAAGGAAAGAAATTCCAGGCTCCCTTGGAGGAAGGGGCAGCTTACTTAAGTGGCAGTAAACCCCTTGGGCAGGTGAGGCCGCAACCTCATGGAAATAAAGCAGCAGTGACTCTGGAGTTGAAAGTCCTGCTGCAGAATGGAATAAGAGAAGACATATTAAATGTTAGAGGGAGAATCACTGACCCCCACGTTTGAGGGAAAAAGAGGAAATGGGATGCCTCAGGTTATTGGACTCTCTGTCCCCCCTGAGGTATCTTCTTGCAGCACCGGAAGGGAAGCCAAAAGAAAACCAAATACCCTTTAGCTGTTTTAACCCACGGGTCCTGACCAAAGGTTGGCTACAGGGACCTTCAGGGAATTCAGAACCATCTGCACTTAAATAAACTGGCTGGCTAAGGGCTGCGGGCTGCAAACACACAATGGACAAGGCCAGCCAGGGCCCTGGTCACGTGGAGAGGACAATCCGTCCTCTTCACCTCCGCTCTTACTAGCTTTTGCTCATGTGTGATTTCCTGAGTTTCTCTTTTTTTCTCTTGGATCACCACGATCCTTGCCTGACCCCAAACCTGCACCCTTCCCTTTATGACCACAAGTCTTGTGATTAAACGTCACCAAAACAAAGGCAATGCACGGTTTGTTTTTAAGAGTAAATCTATTCAGTAAAACCACAGTATGTCTTTATCTCAGCTTATCATTAATTTATATCAGAGACAACCTGCACTGCTACTGACTGCCCCCTTCCAAACCTACTTCACCAGATCACCTGTCATCTGATCTGTCAGGAGGAAGAAAGGGAAACTCTAGCCACAACTTCTGTGTTTTGTTAAAACTGTCTAAGAACTTTCTCATGAATCAGATATTAGATCTGATTACTGTAATCTTTAAAGTCTAGAGTGAGAACAGAAGAAATCAGAACTTTTGGTGATCTTAGTCAATTAATTCCCGATTAGTTTTTAAGAAAAACACCTGGCTACAAGGCATCTTTTCATGGATCTGTGTTTTTGGCTGAGATACTGTTTATTTAGTCCTGCTTATTTTGTTCCAAGGAAGAATTTAATGGGGCCAGTTGTCTCAATACTATGAATTTAAAAATATATTGCTAGATACTATTATCCAAAGGAGCTGTTTGTGTGCCAGGGAAAATGAAGAGGTTCTGGAAACAGAAAGCCAAAAGGAAGCATGTTGCATTGTCAAGGGTCAAAGATGTAGTAAGGGCAATGAAAAGAAAATACAGTGGTAGACCACAAGTGTATGTCTTTTGCCCCAACAGTCTGAACCTTTGCTTTCGTTTTGTTTACTAGCACCTGTTAAAAAGAAAACCACAGGAACCAAATGGTGTCACTCAGACCAAGTCACCAAACCTGGGACTTAATACCAAACTAATGGCAGAGTCAACCTCTCCCAGCAACAAGGCCTTAGGCAGTGGGTCATGAATTTTCAGATCAGGACCAGTGAGGTCAGCTGTCCCATCCGCCCTCTCCATCCCCCCAAAGGAAGATGAGGTAATTGACCTGATAAGACCCCCCCCCCCACCACGTTCCCCTCCAGGGAAAATGATGGGGCTAGGTACAATCCTTTCTTTTCTTTTGCTAACAACTTTCTTGCCCCACCCTCCCTCCTGTAAAATCTTCCATTTCAGAAACCTCTCTGAGCTCCCCTCTACTGGCTCCACAGGATGCTGCCCCATTCAGGAGCTGCTTAATAAAACCAATTACAACTTCAAATCTACTCAGGTGAACTTCTGTTCTTTAACACATGCTGGGGTTCGAATGTGAACATGGTCTTCTCCTCCAGCATTATCTCCCTGCACAGGACCAGGACCCATCATTTTTCGGACAGAACTGCCTCCTAGAATACCACAAGGCTACACACAGAAAAGGGGAAAAAGAGGGAAAAGTATTTTTAAGGTCTACAATGAAATATAGGAACCAAGTCCATTTCAGACTTACCAAAGGCTGGTGTGCTAGAAATAGCAACGGGTTGCTGTTTCATGACAGGGGGAAGTGAGGAAGGGAGTTGATATCCTTGCAGCTTGAGTTTGATGAGTTTCATAGCTATGGAAAACTCGACTTGATCCATTCGTCCATCATTGTTCATATCAGCTAGTGCCCTGCAAACCAACATGGAGGGCGAAGAATGACTCTGACCATAAAAGGGTCTTTCCTAAACCACCCTTCCCACCCACATCAGTCAGCTCCCTTCATCCGGGGGCAAACAAAAGAGAAGAAAACCAAGCAGACCAAGTGGAAACAGAACTTGTTTACCAAGCTACAGGGAGTAACCTGGGAATACTGGCAAGGCTTTGTATAAAAGTAAAATACTTTCTACTGTGTTATGCTTTACTTATAGGAAACAGGAGGTAATTTTCAGTCTGAATGCCAGGATATGGGCTTTGGATATCAATATGGGATTCTTTTTGAGGTGGGGAAAATGTTCTAGAATTGGATAGTGGCCATGATTGCACGACTCTGTGAACACACTAAAAACCAGTGAATTATACATTTAAAAGGGTGAATTTTGTAGTGTAAGTTATGTCATAATAAAGATGTTAGGGGAAGGGGCACCTGGCTGGCTCAGGGTCATGAGTTCATGCCCCACGTTTCCCCTAAAAAGACGTTAGGGGGAAAAAGATCAGAAAAGAGATGGGACGCCTGGCTGGCTCAGTTGGTTAAGCAGCTGCCTTCGGCTCAGGTCATGATCCCAGCGTCCTGGGATCGAGTCCCACATCGGGCTCCTTGCTCGTCAGGGAGCCTGCTTCTCCCTCTGCCTCTGCCTGCCATTCTGTCTGCCTGTGCTCGCTCTCTCTCCCTCTCTCTCTCTGACAAATAAATAAATAAAATCTTTAAAAAAAAAAAAAAAAAAAGAAAAGAGAGTTTATTTCTACAGATACTCATCTGGACAGCACCAACTCCTCTGTGGGGTTCTACCAATCTTCCCATGGAGACTATGCTACGATATAGTTCTACAACCTTTAAAGCTGTGAAAATTAATTAAATGAGCTTACACATTTAAAAATGGCTCAGGGGGCGCCTGGGTTGCTCAGTCATTAACCGTCTGCCTTTGGCTCAAGTCATGATCCCAGGATCCTGGGATCGAGGCCCACATCGGGCTCCCTGCTCAGCGGGAAGCCTGCTTCTCCCTCTCCCACTCCCCCTACTTGTGTTCCCTCTCTCTGTGTGTCTTTCTCTGTCAAATAAATAAATAAAATTTTTTTAAAAATGGAACTCAGAAATGGTCAAGTGTAACTTGCAATGAGTGTTTTCCTCCCCAGGATTTCATTTTTATTTTTTAATTTAATTTTAGTAGATTTGACAACGCTATGTTCAGTTTTGGTGCAATGAGCTTTAATGCATATTCTCTCGAATAAGCTTAATAAGCAAAAAAGGTTTTTGCAAGTGGAAACGACTTTCATGCAAACCACAACTGTGCATTTTGACAATTAACCTCTTTTTAAATTTTTAAAATTAACACATAATGTATCATTTGATTCGGGGGTACAGATCTGTGATCATCAGTCTTATACAACACCCAGCATTCACCACAACACATACCCTCCCCAATGTCACCCAGCCACTCCATTCCCCCACCCCCGGCTCCCTTCAGGAGACCTCAGTTTGTTTCCTAAGATTCAAAGTCTCTTATGGTTTGTCTCCCTCTCTGGTTTCATCTTGTTTCATTTTTCAGCTCTTCTGCCTGAAAAATGTTCATCCCTTCAGGTGCCTGGGTGGCTCAGTCAGTTAAGTAAGTGACTGCCTTTGGCTCAGGTCCTGCACTCCCTGCTCACCAGGAAGCCTGCTTCTCCCTCTCTTCCCTGTTCATGCTCTCTTGCTATCTGTACCTCTCTCTCTCTCTCAAATAAATACATAAAATCTTAAAAAAAAATTTCATCCAGATTTCATTTCTTTTAGTCTAGATATTAAAAATGTTAAGAGGGCACCTGGGTGGCTCAGTGTAAGCCTCTGCCTTCCGCTGGGGTCAGGATCTCAGGGTCCTGGGATCTGTCCAGCATTGGGCTCTCTGTTCACCAGGGAGCCTGCTTCCCCCACCCCATCCGCCTCTCTGTCTACTTGTAATCTCTCTTGCTGTCAAATAGATGAATAAAATCTTTCAAAAGAAAAAAATAAATAAATAAAAATAAAGATGTTAAGATGATTTTTTTTTAAAAAGCGATCTACTTTATTTGAAAAACCAAATGATAAGAACAGCTACTCCCAATTAAATTGCCACCACTAGCCAGCTTTTAAATGATCCACATCTACATAAGTGTCCAAAAAAGACAATTAAGTTTCACAGAAAATTATCCTATATTGCTGGAGTTAACTCAAGGAATGAAAACATAAAACACAATGAAAAGAATGACATATAGTAAAGATTAAAAATCTCTAAAAGTTGTTAAGAGTCAACACTCTTTTGGGAAGTAAAAAAAAGGGATGCCGGGGTGGCTCAGTTGGTAAACCGTGTGGCTTTGGCTCAGATCATGATCTCAGGGTCCTGGGGTGGAGCCCTGCATCGGGCTCCCTGCTCAGTGGGAAGCCTGCTTCTCCCTCTCCGTCTGCCTCTGCCTGCTGCTTCCCCTGCTTGGGCTGTCAAATAAATAAATAAAATCTTAAAAAAAAAAAAAGTAAGAAAAAGTCATCAAAGTGGGAGATGGGCTACAGAAGCCATGTTTATGCCTCAGGTGGGAACAGACCTCGGCTCTCCTATAGTCTGTGATCCCCTTCGGCAAACCCTACCAGTGGAGTCCGAATTCCACTCACCTGCTGAGAGCCTGAGGGTCATTCTGCACGTGGATCTTGGTCACCTGAATTCGTACATGAACTCATCATTCATATCCTTTGTTAGTAAGTTTTCTGAGGGACTACGTGTCTTTTTCTTGTCAGTTATAAGAGATTGTTGTATGTGACGTCTTTGCTGTCAATTTTATCTCTCAATTGTTGAGTTCTTAAAATTTATCATTGGTCTGTGCATAATATCGTTACTGTAAGAAATTCTGTTTTTATACCATATGATTTCACTTACACGTGGAATCCAAAAAACAAATTGAACAAACAAAATTAAATGGTAACAGACTCATAAATGTCAGGCACTGTTACACGCTTGAAACTAACATAATACAACTTTTATGAACTAATCCAGCCTCTTCTCATGGAACTAAAAAATATTTTTGCTGTATATTAAATGTTCATATGAAGTGACGTATTTCTGGATTAACAATTCCCAGTTCAATATGACAGTGATCTGATCATACTCGCTCCGTGGTACAGTCTGGTATCTGGGAAGACTTTTCCTTTCTTGCGGTGCCTGGTGGCTCAGTCGGTTAAGTGTCCGACTCTGGATTTTGGCTCAGATCATGATCTCAGGGTCGTGGGATGACGTGCCACGCTGGGGTCCCCACTCAGTACAGCATCTGCTTGTCCTTCTCCCTCTGGCCCTCCCTCCACTCGCTCTCTACTCTCTCACTCTATCTCTCCCAAATAAACAAATAAATAAATAAAATCTGAAAACAAGATTTTGTTTGGCTATTCACAGATGTTTGTGTTCTTCCCTATGAATTTTAAGATCATTGATCTATTCTACAAACAACCCTACTGGGAACCAAGCTGCCACTGCATTAAAGAGCCCACCAAAGACAATAGCATGTCCATCTACTCAAATTTACAAACATTTCCTTTAATAAGATTAGATCACTTTGGGGGTACCTGGGTGGGTAAGTCACTTAACTGTCAATTAAGCACCAGACTCTTGATTTTGGCTCAGGTCACAATCTCAGGGTCATGGGATGGAGCCCCGTGTGGGACTCCCCACTTAGCAAGGAGCCTGCTTGAGATTTTCTTTCTCAATCTCCCTCTGTCCCTGCTCCTCCACACTCTCTCTCTGTCTCTCTCTAAAATAAATGAGTAATAAATCTGTTTTTAAAAAGGATTGATCAGGGGCGCCTGGGTGGCTCAGTGGGTTAAGCCTCTGCCTTCAGTTCACGTCATGATCTCAGGGTCCTGGGATGCATCCAGCTCTCTGCTCAGCAGGTTCCCCTCTCTCTCTGCCTGCTGCTCTGCCTACTTGTGATTTCTCTCTCTCTGTCAAATAATAAATAAATTTAAAAATCTTTAAAAAAAATAAAAAGGATAGATCACTTTTTTTATGTAAGCAATTACTTTTGGTAATTTTTTAAAAGATTTTATTGATTGATTGATTGAGAGAGAGAGAGAACGCAAACAGGGGAAGGGGCAGAGACAGGAGAGAGAGAATCTCAAGCAGGCTCTACACTGAGCCCAGAGTCCCATGCAGGGCTCGATCCCACAACCCTGAAATCATGAACTGATCCGAAACCAAGAGTCAGACGCTTATAACTGACTGAGCCACCTAGGCGCCCCAGTTACTTTTCTTATTAAATGTGTTCTTAGGAGTTTTATCATCCCATCACTATTTTAAATGGAACACTTGCCCGCTTCTGTATTTCGGTGCTTACTTCCAACACAGAAAAATCTTGCTTTCAATAATCATTTATGCTATAATCAGCTATCTTACCAAACTTCTATAAATATTATTTTTTTAACCTACAATAGCTTAGGTTATAGCTAACTATACTATTGCATAACTAGCAAAAAAGAGTTAACTTTCATTTCCAATATTTATACACTTCCCTTTTTTTTGGTTGGTCTTACTGAGTGTAAGACATCATTGAATGTGTGAGCATCCTGCTAAGCTCTGGGTTTCAGTGAAAGGGCTGTAGTGTTTCACTGTTTAGAGTAAATTTTGGTAACGATCATTAGAAAGTCACCTGACATATTTAAAAAGTTTCCTTTCTACATATTAGGTATGGGGTGTGTGTGTGTGTATTATTTTTTTAACATCAAATGCCTACTCAGCATCTGCTGATCAGATCACACTTCCTTTTATCTGTTGCTATAATACTGAGAGAATGCCTTAATTCTGCACCAAACTTGCACTCATGGCATAAACTCAATTTGGTCATAATTTTAAATATATTGTGAAATTCTATTTGCTAACATTTTGTTTTGATTTTTGTATCAATATTCATAATTGAGACTGTCTCTGGCTGTCTTGTTTTTGTAACTATCTTTCAGGTTTTATAAAGGAAGTTAAATAAGT